CTGTTTGAAATCTCAATAACAAGCCCTAAACATTTGGGCAAAACTCCAAACCTTACTCTTTAAAAGATACAAATGACCAGAATCTCCAACTCTTAACTTTCAACCACAAATCCAAATAACTAAAAGGTTTTCTCCAAAGCGTACTCTGATGCTTGATCGGGCATTCCTCAACGACGCTGATGTTGAGCTCCTCTAGTTTGTTGTCCTCGAGCTATCTGATCTTGATCTCCTCCTCTACGATCTGGTGAGTGAGTTGGGGTCAGTCTACGCCATTACTTAAACCTCAAACACTTACGGATTATTACCTTAAGTGTTCCTCAACAATAAGTTAGGGGAAACTGTTTATACTTCTGCCCTTTTAAACTTTTAACCCTTAAAACGTAGGAGTTACTCTTAACCCCGCACTTTAATCCTTTAAAACCTTGGAGTTATTCTTAACCCCAAACCTTAATCCTTTAAAACCTTGACCGACACTGGGATCCCCCGCTAGCTAGTCCGGTTGCCAACTCATACGTATGAGAAGCCAATCCAGGCTTTCCTTAAACCCATCGTGGTGGCTCTTCACCACGACTATCCAGGGCATAACCGCTGCCCAAAAGTCCCAAGAGCATAACCGCTGCTCTTCCCAAGATCTCATCCCAAGATCTCATATGGCAACGGACTGGCGCTAGCGACCAAAAACACTTAAAACGACCCTACCTTCTCAGAAGGTGAGTTACTTCTTAAAAAGACCCGCTTTTTAGCTTCAGCAATAATTCATAACTCCGAACCTTTAATTTAAATATAACTCATGCACCTTCTCACCAAGTATAGCTCAAACAAAACCATATTATCAATAATAATCATGCAATTTCAAACATGAATCAAGTACTGCACATATATCACGTAAACCAATACTCGAAAACATTCAAGGATAATACTTGAAAACCGTAAAGTAAATACTTGGACAAAACCGTAAGGCGTAGAATTTACCCCCTTTACACTCACCTTGAACCGATGAATCTGATTCGACTCTGAAAATTCCAAAACTCCCTGTCAACATAATAATCGTGCCATAATCAAACACTCAATTTATCGAGTGGGAAATCCCTTAGCAACGATTATCGTTTTCCTACGTCCAACGCATAAAGTGGACGGTTTAAACCCTCGTGCATGGTTTGTTAACCCTTAATCCGTGAAAATCTCCAATTAATTTGAAAGACGGACTTGCCGTGGTAAAAACTCCGAGAAAAGGAATGGGTGCCACTACTCGTAGCGCACTTCTTACAACCATATTCCCAAAGATTTCACCGGGTGAATTCCCAGGTAAGTGGACGAGTACCACGAAGGTCTCGATTAAAAACCACTAGCCTAGACAGAATCCCCCCATGGTAGCTGTCCATTATTCAAATTCTCACGATTGGTAGGGATTAATTTCACAATCGTAACTTCCAAATACTCGATTATGCATCATCCAATTCTACTCGAGTATTCAAATCATAATAACAACATCATCCATTATATCTTCATTCAGAACCTCAGCTATGTTCAACATTCCATATATCGCACGCAGTAAAACCTCGCCTATTTACCGTAGGGTCCACGTACCTTATTTTTTACGGAACCTCGACTCTGCACAGCCGTTGAAGACCGTCCTCGAGCACTTCGTCGCTCCTGCTCGTCAATCTCTCTCTCTAGAATCTGCCCCTTTCTCTCTCTAACTCGTTAATACGAATTTTTGGTGTGAAATGAAAGTTGGAAATCCTCCCCCCTTTTATAGGCGGTCAAACCGAAATACCCGGTCTAATACCCGGTCGGGTATTTCTGGGTTCGGTCGGGTATTTCTAAAATAATAATTCTTTTTCCCGACAAAAATCCCCGGTCGGACCGGCAAATCCCCGGTCTCACCAACCCCCAAACCCGGTCGGGTATTTTAAGGGAAAAACCCGGTCTAACCTAACTTAATACCCGGTCGGGTCTAACAAAATAACCGGTCGGATTTCTCCAAAATAACCGGTCGGGTTTCTCCAAAATAACCGGTCGGGTATTTTGGTTATGAAGCCCCCACGCTCGTTTGCTCCTTCGGTTTTGACGTCTTGATTATGTTCAGGGAGAACATAATTCCATCTTATCGAACCAACTTGATTTGAATTTACATCTCGGGTTTCGGGTGTTACAGACACCATAATCTGGCATGACAGCAAGACGGGGGTTTACTCCGTAAAGGAAGGATACCAGCGCTGGCTCCAAGACTTCAAGACCCGTAATGGAGTTTCTCCGACAGGAGAGGCTAAGATGCGGAAGCACCTATGGAGCCCAGGAGTGCCGCCTAAGGTACGCCAATTCATGTGGCATTTTGCACGAGAAATTCTGCCGACGTGAGTTCAAGTAAGCCGCCGAAACCCGCAAGGAGGGGACAAGTGTTCGTTCTGTGATCTACTTGACACCCAATTTCATATCTTCTCGGAGTGTGAATGGGCATCAAGAATTTGGAGGAAAACAGAGGTAGCAAGCCTGTTTGATCTGCGAGGACAGGGGTCTTGTCTCTCATGGACAATGGCAGTTCTGGAGACGGGGGAGGAAGAGAAGATAGAAGGTTGGTGTGTACTTTTGTGGTATCTCTGGAAGGAAAGAAACGTTCATCTTTTCAATGGATCAAAACTACCCGAAGAGGAGATACCTCTTCGCGCAAAATATCTTTTGGCGGATTACAAACTACATCAGCAGCCGGAGATGGAACCAGTCACCCAACCTGAATGGAAGACTTGGAAATTTCAACCACAAGGAATGGTATCTGTGTGTACGGATGCATGAATTTTGGATTCTGGGGGAGCGGGCCTGGGTGTTGTCATAAGGGATGCAAGCGGTAGGTTTTTGTTGGTAGCCGCGAAGTTAGTCCCAGGAACGGAGAGAGGATCCGGTGACTAAGGGGGGGTGCTTAGTCACTTGACTAAGCCCCTCCCATCCCTTAGATCTGAACACATCAATCTGATGGTTAAAAAGTGGGAAGTGCTATTTAATTAATGACAGGGGTAGTTTGGGTATTATGGAAAATTACGAAGTATACAAACCGGACTTACAATCAGTACAAACCATACAAACATATGAACAGTACAAACTAGAGCGACAAAACATACAAACATATGAAAGGTACAAACAATACAAACTAGACGGACAAACAATACAAACCATACAAAAAGAAAAACAACCAGGTTGACTTTGGAGGCTCCATCCCTATATAAAGGGGCTCCTTCCCAAAGTCAACCCGAGTGTTTTTTAGACATATAAACATTACAACACATGGTGGACAAAAATGACAAACTAGACCAAAAATTCATACAAACTGAAAAACACCCAGGTTGACTTTGGAGGCTTCATCCCTATATAGAGGAGTTTCATCCAAAAGTCAACCAGGTTGTTTTTTAGACATAAAAAAACATTACAAACATGGTTGACTAAAATGATAAACATGGTGCACAAAAATAACAAAGCTTACAAACATTACAAAAAAAAACCCACAAATATTCAAAATAACAAAGTTTACAAAAATAAACCAACAAATAGAACAAAGCATACTAACCGTACAAAATGTCACTAAAAATGACAAACAAGAATGATAAACAATACAAACCGAATCGATACAAATATTACAAAATAGATCAACAAACATCACAATTCTAGCAGTGTCGCCGGAAAATCCTTCTCCATCGTCGCTGGTCGCTGGAAAATCCTTCTCCATCGTTGCTGGTCGCTGGAAAAATCTCCTCCGGTCGCCGGAAAAATTTACCCCGTCGGCAAAATCTCTCTCTCCCTCTCTCTTAGTTGAAGTGGGGAATTCCAAAAGAGTTCCCAGCATCCGCACAACTTTCCACCTTGCCGGAAGGAACGGAAAGGCAGCCTCTCTCTCTCTCTCTCTCTCTCTCTCTCTCTCTCTCTCTCTCTCTCTCTCTCTCTCTCTCTCTCTCTCTCTCTCTCTCTCTCTCTCTCTCTCTCTCTCTCTCTCTCTCTCTCTCTCTCTCTCTCTCAGTTGAAGTGGGGAATTCCAAAAGAGTTCCCAGCATCCGCACAACTTTCCACCTTGCCGGAAGGAACGGAAAGGCAGCCGGTGGAAGGGACGGGGACGAGGACGGGAAATTTGTCAGGCCGATGGAGGGGATGGTAAAGCAGTCGGCGGTAGGGACGGGGAGGGGACAAATTTTTTATTTACTTTATAATTAAAAATTAAAATAATTTTGCAATTACTACATTCTCCTTCATTAATTTGGATTAATTGGAGCCATTAGATTTTAATGAGATGAAAGGGCTGAGATTGACTTAGTCATGTGACTAAGACACCCCCCCTAGTCAACTGATCTTATCCCCCATAGTCACTATACCTAAAGTTGACTACTATTTTCTTAATGAAGTTTCACTTCGTATTCGGTTCCTTTCTTTCCAGTTTTGTCTCTATCACCATACTGTTATATTAGTTAATCTACTTGCTATTATCATTGTGCGACTTATTTTGTTTAATTTGCCTTCTCTTTCGAGAGCATACTATTATTTTGACTTATGTGCTACATAGCAATAGCTAGTCAAACTTCAGTTTTTACTTATTTCATGGCTTCCAATCTATTAGCTAATCCGTATTTGCTTTCAGATCTAAAGAATATAATAGCTGTTTTTTAACTATAAAATATGTAAATCCATTCGGCAAATGGTTTCTGGAAAGGAAGGAGAGGGTTGTTTGTTTTGTGTTTCAATTTGAAATTCAAAATGGACAATTATGTAAATTATGTGTTAAGTTAGGACGATCTTAGTAATTTTTAGGACGACCTTTTACCATTCAGATTCTTATATGAGTATGAGTATGAGTATGAGTAAAATTTGAATTACTTTGAGTAGGATAACAAACCTCATTCACTATTCAATCCCGACCTGACTCGTTGCCATCCCTTATTTGACTCGATTATTTCATTATAGTTTTAAAGTTGAGTGACGGTTTTGTAACAAACCTCATAATAATTGGCTGATCTAATCTAGTCATTTTACCCACCGCTAACTAACCCATGGCCGGGGAGGAAACGGAATAAAAACTGGCCTTTAATTTCAAAATTCCCACACCATCGCATCGCCTCGCCTCGCCTCCTAAAACCCTGCCCTAGGTTTTGGTATTTCTTCTCGATCGATCGAGTTTCTGTCTCTTTCGACCTCTTGATCACTAACGAACGAGCCATGTCTCGCTTCTCCCTCAGCCATCGCGGGTACGTCTATCTCTGCCTTACTTTCAGCACCTTAAACCTCTGCAATGCCTGGATCAACTGGCAATATTGCAACAAGCATAAGAGAGTTGCAATGGAGAATCTTGCAGCTCTGGATCGAGCTGCTGAGCATTTTCAATTGGCTCTAGACCTTGAGAGGGCTCAAAAGCAGAAGAAGATGGAGGTAATTAATAGGATTTCTCCCTTTATTCAATTTGGTTAATTTACTGGTTGAATTGTTGGGTAGTCAAGTTTAGGGTTTTATGAACTTGGCAATGAACAGAACAGGTAGACTGACTGACTGATGGATCTTTTTCTTCTCTCTCTCTTTCTTCAGGATGAGAGAGATGCTTAGGCTGTTCGGAGTTCGGACCAGAGTGGGTAGGGTGAAGGTGAAGATGAAGGAAACGAGGAGAAGAAGAAGGATGACTGCCATTAGTTTGTTTTACTTTTAATTCGCTTTTAAAGTTTGTACTGAAAGCACCATTTTCAATATAAGAATTAGGTTCGTGAAACTGTCTGGTACCGTATGTGTTGGAGACTAGCGAGTGTATTGCTTCTGTTTAAGAAGGTTTCTAATTATTAAGTCTGGCTGGTTTACTATGTCGTCTGAAAAAATCTTACCAATTTTCCTACAGCTCCTGTATTCACTGGATTCTACTTTAAACAAAAAAAATTGTTGAGTTAGTACAGGGACCTCCCCCAATGTTATTGGCAGCGAGGAAAGAAACAAGTCTGGTTCTAGCTTTCATAAGTTGGCAATCATTCTGTGTGATTCTTTATTCTATTCCTCACCAGCTTGTTGCTTTGCCTGCAGGTAAGGTTTCTCTCCATGATCACATTGATTTCACATTAGATCCCTGCATTGTAGGAAAGACTATTTTGTAATAACTTATAAGCTGATAGTATGTTTTTGCACCTGCCATATTTCCAATCACTGGGTGATTGATGTTTCTGTGTACTGATTCTGGCTGTTCTTCTTATCTGTAGGTCTATAGTCTTCTGCCAAACTGAAGGAAGAAACAAGAACAGTCGCTTAGGAGAGCAAATCTGTCATCCCTCAAGCTATGTTTCCCAAGCATAATAGAGACATAACTGATGTCTCATCCATGGAGAGAAAAAAAAAAGTGATTCAGTCATAGAGCTCAATCAATCACCTCAAGGAAATCAAAGTCCAGAAGAGTGGCTTTAATTTGTGTGGTATGGACCTTGTGGTAAGAATTTTACTAGTTTGTTAAATGCATGCAAGTCAGACTTTGATTAATGCAAAACATTGTGAGCTTGGTATCCCACAAGAGGACTTTAATTTGAACTTAGTCTTTAACTTAAATAGATGCCAGTCGCTAGTGGTGTACCCGAGTCAGTTTGATTGAATTTGACAGTTTTCTATCAACTGACCCTTAGCAATGGCTTAGGTAACAGAGTACCAAACTCAACAGTAAAAAAAAAAATGAAATCTGGTGGTTTTATGGATGTTGTCCGGATCATTTACAATCTAAATGATAAAAAGTTAGCATAGTCAGATAAGAGATAACGAATGAAGGAAAGCGAACAGAAGAAGATTCTAAATCCTCTGTCTTTGTTTGTTAATGGTTTTACTGACTCGAGAAATCACTTATATGGATATTTTATCTGATAATTCTCTTAATGGTTTACACCTTGATTTCACATATCTGACGGTCACACCATCTGTATATCCACCCGTGAATTATCATTTGGCCGCTCATTTTCGGGTGGTTGGGTTGGTATGATTTGGTCAGTTTTGCTCATCCCTGGTCATGTTGCCATTTGACATTATGTGATATCCCTGGTCAGCAATATTCTACCAGTAGTCTTTCGGAGGTAGCTGCTCTATTAAGCTATTTGGTCCCTTCCTTTGTGCATAATAGTAGTAGTAAACGTAGCTGGACTTTGTTTAGAAGACATACTATATTTATTTACTGCATGTAAAAACATTATGTATATGCTTAGATTAGTTATGGGTTGGCTTTGTTACATTTGCCAACTATGCCTTCGATCCAAACCTTATTTATAAGAGATTTCTTCTTCATTGGGTGTATGTCTTAGTCGTGGGTTCTTCTGTAGCTGTTTATGATTACTTTCTTTCTTAGCTGAATGCCAAAGAAATTTATGCCTGCACCCACGCAAATATACACCTCCCAATACGTTCGTGCCCATTCTAAACTCCATAACTTTGACAAGCATCTTCCTTTGTTATGAAGATTGATTGTGCATATATACCATGGAAGCAACTCTCATGTGGTCCTTGTGGACTTTGGATATGGATTATACGTTTTTGTAATGATGTAGTTATTTTAACATAGGTCACCGATGTTTAGAGTTGGTTTTGGAGAATATGACAATATATCGCTATCCCTCTTTGAAATCTTTGTCTTTCTCTTTCTATATTAACATAGGTCGCAAATGACATGATACCACATCCCAGTGATCTTCCTATTCATGGCCACTTTTGGAGAATATGTCAATATATGGCTATCCCTCTTTGAAATCTGTGTCTTGCCTATTGAACATTGATCTATTTTCAGTTTGATGGCTGGGTCAATCTCTCTCATACTTGCTCAGAACTACTAGAATCACTATCAACAATAGCTCCTAACTCTCGATTTATAGGTTATCCTCTTTCATTTGATGGTTGTTTTGATCGCTCTGCTGCATCTCTTTTTTTGCTTATTCACTCCCATTTTTATTCTGGTTTTCCTAATCTGTTTCCCGCCGGAGATGGGCAGAGTCTGGCCTGTTCAACTGCCAGATTTCAGAGGCCTATGGAAGTTGTGGAGAAATGCGGGACTGTGTGGGTGCTTTTTCTTGATGGGTCATTCTCCCTCTTTCTACGGCGTCAAGAGATGCAAATATGGAATTTCAGGTGGTCATTGAATCTCCAAGATTTACTTCTTAATCTCTCTTCTCGCTTTGTTTGTGTGTTCATTTTATTAAGAGAACAAACATATCTGAACATGGTAACAAGCAAAGCTTTTTCCAGGATGTGCTTCCAAGTTCCATGTTCAGCTTCCTTTCCCTGATATTTGATTCGCTTAAAAATGACAGAGTTGTAATTTCTCGAGTGGGCGGAGTAAGACTGAAACTTTGATTTACCAAGTCGGCTGGTATTATTTAGTGCAGCAAGGGCAGACTTGGATAACCAGAATAGGTGAAGAGTGATGACAGAAAAAGGTTTCAGCACTTTTCACGTTGGTATTTTTACTTGGTTCGTTTTCCCTTTAGTTTTTTTGAATATCTGTTCAGTCATCGGTTTCTTACATGGAACCGTTTGTTTGGTTGGGGTGTTTTTTTCCAGTTTGATCTCAGAAGCAAGGATGGTCATGATAGAAAGTTGCTAACTTCGAGTAAGTTGTTGTCATATCCACTCCAGTTGTGTGATAGCTTTGCTTTGGATTAAAATTGAGCTAACACAGAGTATCTTTTCTTCTCGGTGTTTCCAAAAAGTTCAGATGTAGTGACACGATGCAATATAAGTTTTCCACGGTGGAGGGGACTGCAGCAGATGCCAAAGAAATTCGCTGTGGATGGTTTTCATTGCTTCCGGAAGGATTGGAGGAAGGCACACACTGACTTTACATATCCTCAAGTTTCGTGTGGGTTTTTATGTTACAGCCTATGTTCTCTCTTTTGTGTTTGTTTCCTAATCTCATGTAGGGTTATTTGATGTTTTTCTTCACAAAAGCTTATATGGTCTTTTTTAGGTCAAGATACCCATCCCAGGTTTGCTGTCAAAGATCTTCGAATCCCAGCAATTCAGAATTCCAATGTGCTTGGGGTGTTTTTGGTTTATTATTTGATCTCTCTGCCTCCCTGATGAGATATTCTATCCTTCCTGTAGATTCGTTTTTCTCCTTTTAATTAGTTAGATGGGTTTCTTTGTGCTATTTTCAGGAGGTTTTTGTGTCGGGCCACTTTTTGTGATGCTCTGCTTCGACTTCTTGAGTTATTTACTCAATCCTTCTAGCATTGACAAACAATGAAGGGTACGGATTTGCCAAGCTAGAAGCCAAAGCCAGGTTTTGAGAAGTATGATGAATGACCTTAATGTTGCCCTTTTATTATTATTTCTACTTATAACATGTTATCCTTTTAAGTAAGTTATTGAGGGAGTTTGTCGTATGTCCACCACTAAATGATGATGAAGGGTGTATTTTCCTGAATACAAGGGTAAATCTTACTCTACCCCAGTTGTTGACATGTGCTACTTTGAAAATTTGTTTGTTTCTAGCCAAAAGTTTTCTCCTATTACATCTGCGCACTTACTGGGTGGAATGGAATATTAAGTTTGTTTGAAGCATCTATGTTCTTTTGCTGAAAACTCCTTAATGGTTTTTTCCCAGGAAACTTCTCCTCATTGTTGTTGATCCTTTTTGCTGCTGAAGCATAGTTTTTATTGAAGTCTCGGTTGGTGGTTTCTCCTTTTGTTATGGTCATTGATTGGCTTGCTACTGCTGCTGAATTCTCAATCTGGCTATAATGTTTGGAGATCTTATTACCATGCTCTCCTCTATCCGCTTTAATTTTATAAAATCTATTAAAATCTACTATGATTTGCTTATGCTAGCTTTGCTGTTTGTTTGTTCCTTTGTATGCAGGTAATAGTTGATCTCTAATGTCTAGGTTGTTGTTAAGGAACTTTGTTCTGTGAAGTTTGTATTTGGCTTATAGATTGTTCGACTCTGGGAGCCATATTTTTGGTTGGTTTGAGGAGACATTTCGTTTGGACAATCAGGTTGTATATTGTGACGAAGAGTTGAATGGGGATCATGTTCTTGGTAAATCTACAGCCACCTATGTCTAGCGAACTAGGAGCAGCAACTACCTTCATCCCTGCATGTCGTGGAGTTCATTTTTCTCTCTTGCCATTTTTGTGGTTCCTTTTGCTGTAGATTATTTACCCCATGTCTTTGTATTAATGCTCTACAAGTATCCATATTACCTGTAGGCTGTAAGGCTGTAATTAGTGTTAAGCTGTATCTTCATATGTTTTAGGGTCTTTCAGATGATTTTATATTTTATAAATACACTAGGTGGCGATGCCGCACATTGTCGCGGGGCGGAGATGGCCAAGGAACATGTATTATGTGGCCTGTTATGGTGTTTTGTTAGTATTATTAGTCTAAAATTAATTTTTTGTTCGCAGTTTTGTTAGCAATATTGACTGAGAAGAGATATATGCAGTGAACATCCAATTTAATAAATTCTGAAAATTTTGGCTAATAAATGATATTTACCTAAACCCAAGTAGACCCATTGATTATGGGTAGGGCATGGGTGACGTATATATGAGTTTGGAAGTTTATAGATGGGTTTGGGTAGGGTATGGATATTTTCTTCCATAATCTGAATGTGTATGATGAGTTGAGTATGGATACTCATTTATTCGAGGGGTGTCTTAATTACACATACAAATCAAGCTCATAGGTCAACTTGATGATGTGGCTAGCAAACTAACAACATTATATATATACATGCTCATAAGTCATAACGTAGCTCATAAACTGGCCTTTTGCTAGTCATATAAACTGTACATTAGTTATACTATATATTCAACTCAATGAGATAACTTAATGTGGTCCGAGACCTTATGTACGTGGCTAATATTCTTTACATGTATGATTGGTTGTCATATCTTAATCTATGTATGCTAAACACACATATCATATAGATATCGCTAATCAAATATGAATAACTTACTAAAGTATGATTGGCTAGTATTCATTTGAATTAATATTTAACTTGTAACAATATCAATGTTTTATTAAAATCTTGTAGTGTCAAATGCTTATGCTATCGTTGATGATAACTCGGATGGTGTAGAAACAATATTGAGAGTTTAGACTTTCTGTGTTGGAGTTAGAGCACAAGATTGTGATGCCCGTTGCTTAGGTATGGCATGGACTATATATGGTGGAAAATGGTAAAAGAGACAGAAGGAATCTTCCATTCTTCATTGGCTAGCCAACTCATGTGCCTAATTGACAATTAACCACTTAATTAACTAATCCACCCCCACAATTACAGAGAGGAAGCCACATGACATGAATGGCAGAGGTCATGTACATATATGGTTATATAATTGGATAGATAACCAAGCAACTAACTCAAATCAAATAGCTAACCCACCTCGTGTGATATAGAAAATATAGGATCTGCCAGCCATAATCATCATTAATTGACAACGACCTCCTCCTTCCGACGAGGTTCCTTTGTCTTCCTCACATCTCATCCACAGTAAAGAGCCAAGGATGGCTTGCCCCAGATGAAAGAGTCTGTTGCTGAGCTTCAATCTGCAATTAGCAGAAGGCAAGGAGGACCGGAAGGTGAAACCAGAAGTTACCTCAAGTCTATGAGCACTGCGAGGAAAAAAATCCAGAAGGTTTTGATGGGTATGAACAACAATAAGTCTACACCATCAGAAAATAGTGAGACTATCTCCATGTTGAAGGAAGCTCAATCTGTTGCTGTTGAGGTTCTAGAGTGCTTGTTCTAGAGTGAATAAACACTTGTATGTTTGCTGCAGAAAGTATCATGTTTGCTGCTTGGCGTTGGCTACTGCAGGGTTATTGATTTTTATACCACATCGGTTGTAACAAAAAAATCTCTTCCCAAGATAACTATAAATTGAGTGAACTTCTTCAGGCTAAGATTGTGGAGTCCATTAAGAAGCTCAATTTGATTTGGGCCTCTACTTATGGAATTCTGCCCAAGTGTAGTTTAGGTTGCATGCCTTTTGGGTTGCTGCCATAGCTATTGGTATTATTTTGGTTTGGTAGAACCCTACTTGAAGTTGTTTTTCAGTTTAGTTGGGCTCGGTGAATATGGCTTGTTGAGCTTGCTCAAGAGCTCTTACTGAGCCAAGCTTTGAAGCTTGCAGTGAGCTCTAGCTGAATTCTAGCTAAGTAATTTTTGTCGAGCCTTAATTGTATAGTATATAGTGGATTTGTCAACATATTGTTATGTCGAGCCTTTATCAATTACGATTAATTACATGACAAGTTTGCAAGTCATACAAATTGATTCAATATTTTGACTACTTTTTTAATTAAATATATAAACGAGGTAGAAAGAAATTGTTTAAAAATTGTGAAAAACACTTTAAATTAGTGTTACAGAATATGTAAGTTGGTAACGAATAAGTAACTCGATGTGCTGCCCGAACAACCCGCAACCCGATCCGCCCACAACCCGCCCAGCCCGAAACCCAATGAACCCGCAACACAATGAACCCGCAACCCGATTGAACCCAGACCGAACCCGCCCGATTGACACCTGTAGATGTAATATAATGTATCGACCAAAATACATGATTTAGTGATAAAAGCGTACTGATCCATTGTGCTCGAGTGGTAATTAAATGCAAGGAAACAATCCCTCATATACCTCAAGTAGGGATGGCAATTTTGCCCATACCCATGGGTATTTTACTATCCAACCCAATTGGGTTGGGTATGAAATCCAAATATATGGATATGGGTAAAGTTTGATGGGTTTGTACCCATACCCATTTACTTTGGGTTGGGTTGAGTTTATAACAAATGGATTTGGGTTTGTACCCATGCCCAAATACAAATTACAGTTTGGTACCTAAACTTAATAGATATGCATATTTAGTACCTAAATTTAATTTTTTTTGCATATAAGTACTCAAAATATCAATGGAAAATTACGTTTTGGTACCTAAATTTTTTTGGTCTTACATTTTGGTACCTAAAATTTTCAAGTTTTACAAATAAGTCCAATTTTTGCATGTGTAGTTAAAACACCCTCAAGTAAATGGATATCCATATCCAACCCATACCCATTTAGATAATATCCATATCTAACCCAAACCCATATACAAACCCCAAACCCATACACACATCACCCAAACCCTACCCATAATAAATGGGTCTACTTGGGTTTGGGCAAAATTACCCATGGGTGGGTAAATTGCCATCCCTAACCTCAAGCATCGGCCTATTTGTGTAGTGTAAGCATTGGATCAATGATTATCGCCTGTTTATAGATATTGCCATATTGGTTAGGAATAACCGAGTAATTGGGTGATGAGAAGACACTTCGACTAATTTCGATCTCCACCACCTGCTTTAAATGGCCCCAATCGCGCCGAGGAGTAATTAGGATGCAAAGCATTGAATCCGATGCAGATTCACCTAGTGTTTCAGGGAAAGAAGAGCGCCTATGGTTAGACTAACGGACGACCGATGGAAAGACTCAGAGATGCTCAAAGGACTTGGTCACTCGGAGTATGCAGATCAGACTTGGCCGTTCTCAGTTTTATAGTAGTTATAGGAATTTTATGAGAATATTTTTAACCATTCAGCAACTTAGCATAGTTGTGCTTCTTTGTTGAGGAATCAAAAAATGTCAGACAACAACAATTGATTCACAATTTTGGTTGATTTTCCAGCTCCACTGTGTGATTTGTGGGAAATTGTATGCTCATAGGTCAATTGTCCACACCTTCAGCTTTAAGAATGTTTTCTATCAATAGTGTAGCTGCCACAGATAACTTTTCTCAATCTAATCAGCTATAAGGTTCATTTATCTCTTCTTTACACAAGAACCAATTCTTATTTGCTGCTGTTTATGTTGACATTATTTCAATTCTAGAACCAAGTATTTTTTAGATGAGAAGTTTTACCCAAGTTTGCTTCTCTCCGTCGATTAGTGACGTTTTGTACCTCATAACTTCCATTCTCTTTCCCCTTCACATACAATTGATGAGCAAAAACATAATAGAATCCACTCAAAAAAATTTGGGGTTGTCTCTTTCATGTGCGATAGATTTCTAGTTGATCGAATTGCCAAATTACTATGTATATACTCGACTCATATAACCTAGGACGATTTCCTAATCGTGCTTCTTCTTTTGTTATCAGTCGGGACCTACAATTTAAGATCATAATCATCATCATTTCTTTCAACAGTATGTGATTTGGTGTCGGTACATAACTCAAAGTGATTATCATAGCTATCGGCTTCATACACGTGTCGGGGAATCCAATTCATTATTGTTTGCGTGAAAACTTTTTCAGCAATATGTGATAGATGCGTATGCCTTGGTTGAAGCTGAACAGTAGTTGTAGTCTCTTCTCTATTGAGTGTATAACTGACGTGTGTCTTTAAAAGTGCATCCTCTATCCGGCGCAAAACCAATCAGTTCATGACCATATTGCCAACTTAGCAGCCACGACACAAGTAACTGCCAAAGACTAAATTTGGATTATTATAAGATTTCTGTTAGGGGATGGCAATGGGCCTAGTGAGTAAAGGGGGCCAAGAAGTATTGGTGGAGGCCCAGGCCCAATGATGGTTCACTTGGGCCCAATCATGGTGGAGATGACTTGGTTGGGCGGGACCCAGCCTCTGACAAAGGGGCGCATAAGACAAAGTGGTCCAGCAGCTGAGGCGGTACGGAGGGCAGAAATCGTGAGGTCATGCGCCTCAGATCTCTGAACCTTGTGTCAGGTGGTTGAGGCGCATAGCTGGAAAAAGGTACCTCACTTTTATTGCGATGATGACGTAGGGCGGATTTGGGGGGAACTGGTCGAGGGGGCTCCAGGCATAAATAGAACAGTAGGTGAACCTCATTTACTCAGATCGGGTTCTCTCACTAAACTCACTTTCACTTCTCTCTCTAGACTCCGAGGACTAACTTGATCGTTGGAGTGCTAACGAACCCTCGAGGTTCCTAGTGCGCCTCTTCGTTACAGGGTCTAGGCGCTCCATTGGAGAGAGGAGTACAGGCGAGGTGCCAGGGGAAAGAAGGGCAAGCGAGTCAACCAAGGCGGTACGGAGGCAAGGCGTGAACAGGGCTAAAAAAATTGGCGGGCCAGATAGGGAAATACAACCAATCTAAGCAATAGACTAATGGAGGTGACTGGTGACGCTGGGGTCGAGAGGGAAAACGCCCCGCCGGAAGGCGCATCGAGAGAAGCGCCCCGCCCGTCGGAGGAGACTCCCAAAGAGAGCGCGGAAGCAAAAGGGACAGCTCAGTCCGATGACGTGACCTTGACTAAGGAGCACTTGATGCGCATAATCGAGGATCAGGACCAAGCACTGGAGGCTCTTAAGAAGGAGGTCGAGATGCTAAAGAAAGGGGCGGGGGCTATGCTCTCCCCTGTCTCCAAAAGGAAGGACAGGGAAGAAGACGAGGGAATGTCGAGTGTCCTGAGGCGCACCGAAGATCTGGGGCACCTGACCAGGCATCTCGCGTTTGACTTCGACGAACATAACGGGTTG